AAGTTCTACCAAAACTTTATTGAAAATAAAATTCAGCATAAAAATAAAATGCAATCACAACATACAAGGTACTTACACATTGCAATGCCGACCTGCTTCCCCGAGCCATCAAACTGACAGCTCGGTCAAGAGGTGCCATTTACCTGGTTGCCAACCTTTTTATTCCGTTAAACCACAAACCACATTATGACGATCAGATCATTCCCAGAACAGATGCCAACACCTGTTGGTGCCCTTTCCTTAGCCCTACTGTTCTCATCACCAAATTTGTAATTTCCTTCACTTTGTAAGTTCCTCTTATTTCCCGTAAATGCCCCCACAGGTCATATTTCAGTTATCTTGGCCTTATTAAATGCACTCAAAACTTACATTAAAACATATAAAAAGGCTACTAATAATTTTCCCCTCACACTATGGAATGTGCTCAGAAAAATGGGAATTCCAGAATCTTATTGTTCTCGTGTGAAACTTATATACAGGTCAGGAAGCCACTGTACAGACAGAACATAGTGAAACAGACTGGCTCCAGATTGGCAAAGGAGTGAGACAAGTCTACATACTCTTGCCTTCTTTATTCAACCTATATGTTGAAAAAATATATATTAAGGGAAGCTGAATTGGAAAAAGATGACCATGATTTTAAAAGTGGAAGAAGAAACATCAATAACCTGTGCTATGATGACAACACGATCCTGATAGCTGAAAAGACAAAGGATCTGCAAGCTGTAGTAATAAAAGTCAAGGAGCACAATGAAAAAAATGGGGGTAAAATTAAATATAAAGAAGACCAAACTAATGACAACATAAATCAATCAATCCTAAATGTTGTTGAAAAATGGTAAAGGTTGCAAGCATAGATGGTATAACTAGAGAAATGCTAAAATTCTACATGGTATGCTTTGAAAGTGGCAATGATCAAAATTTGGGAAGTACAGTGTGGCCCTATTCCAAAAAACGGGGTGTGCAAAAAGGTTTTTCCTCTTTAGCAGCTCACTGCAAACATGAGAAAGTTTATTGTATAACTCTTGACTTATTTTCGAAAGTGACTAGGGTTTCGTTATGGAATGTTTGCATAAATGTGTAGTTGAATGTTATAAGAACTTGTGGTGACAAAAGGTGTGGTGGCTAGGATGTGAAGATACATGTATTTTCATATAAAGACAGTGCTTATTGTTGGCTGACACCTGAATGCTTTTCAGCAAGTGTTAGATAAGATTGTATGATGCCAAAAGGAATATAAATCTAATAATTAATATTAGATAAATATTATCTTATTTATAGCTAAGAACAATACAATTGTGTTTCACAGGGAAAATTGAATGCCAATTGAAAGTTATACATAAATGGTGAAAAATTGGAATGAATAGATTAATTTGTATACTTCAGTAGAATGTTGGGAAAAGAGATGAAGAAATTTTATAGTATGCAAAAGCTTGTAGAAACATAGTGGATAATATGTGGTCTGTTGCAAAGATGAATGTTTGTTGAAAGAAGCTGTGCTTCTGCCCACTTTGTTATATGGAAATTAGAATTGGGCATCTCAGGCAAGAAACGTGTGTTGTAAAAAAGAAAAAAATAGAGTTAGAATGAATACTACTGAAATGGATGGAATACAAGAGTGAGTGACCAATATGAAGGAAGTACTTTGAGGTATTTTGGTCAGTCAGAAATTGAATCCTAAACAAATATACAAGGCAAGAGTGATTAAGTCATGAGGAAAACTGATGGTTGGACAGAGTTGATCTTTCAAAAAGAGAGAGATGAGAAGATTAAAGAATAAAATATGATATATGAAGCAATGTATGGATGTGGTAAAAGCAAGGATGGTATGCAAGAGTAAAAAAAGTCTGGAGATTTATAGTGAATGGAGTTGGCCTGAACAAGTTTCAGCTACTATTATCACCTTCAAAGTCCTTTATGGCATAGGGCTGCACTACAGGTATGTTTTGCATGGTTTATATTTGCTGTGGCATGGTATTTTTACACTTGATTTACTGAATAGGCTTAAATATTCTTTTGTCTAGGCATTTTTGTGCAATTTTCTCATTTAACTTACTGCCTTAACTGGGTTTATAAACCACTCCAGATGCAGCCAGCTTTGAATAGCCTATATCCCAACTTTGTAAAATTAGATTAGAACATACAATACACATTACAATAAATAGCAGAACTACAATTCATAAATAGGACAATGTACTGTACAGCTTAGCACAAATCCTCCTGCTCTCCCTCCTTCTCTGAGACTGCAGGACAAAACACAGCTACACAATAATTAAGGCTGTGATCCTGTATTCTTGTACCTGGGAGCATGACAAACTGAACTTACTTCTAAATAGAAATACAGACTGCTTTCTTACTGCATGAATTTATCTTAGCCTAAGAAAGTTTATGCTACAATGATTTTAAAGCTTGTACAGATACTTTATTTTTCCCACGCGTGTGAATTCAAACTGTATAGAAGAGATTTCCCAATCGATTTAGCTCTGGAAAAAAAAAACTCTTTTTTTTTTTTTCAAGCCAGTGGAGTAGCTAGGTGATTTTACACTTTACATTTAATAGTTACACTGGGATTCCTATTGAAAACAGCTATATAGTACTTAACGTATCAAAGGCTTAACATTTGTCTTTTATACTACCCTATGTTTTAAAATTGTGTCTACGTGATTCATCTGTTGCAGTATACAGAACCAACCAGAGTTTCCTAACCCTAGTAAAGAAATGCTTTCAGTGTGTTTAATTTAGAATTTTAAGTAATTTCAATGAGAGAACTTCCCCAATTCTATAAAATATCACAGAGGGAGCTTCAGTGCTCAACACAGTTTTTCAGGAATTAATCAGCATAGAAATGGAACACAAAATAATAGTAGCAATAACAACAAAACAACTCTAATAGTGTCCTCCTTCAACCAGATGTCTCCAACCATGCGTTACCATTTCTGATTCTACAGCAGGAAATCGGACTTTATGACTGCCCCCTTGTTATTGATAAAGAAACAGGGCAGTGCTTGGGAACTGGGTAGAAGAGAAGAAATTGGCAGGTAACAAGATCAACTTTTCCAAGGGTGGAAATTCAAGAGTGGCTTAAATTGTCCCTCGCCCCGCTTAACGGTCTCGAAGAACTCAGTATCTTAGAAGACAGCAACAAGTCCGTGGGCGTTTCCTGTTTACTATTATTTCCGTTTCTTTGAAAGAGTATTGCCATTTCCAGACAAAGCAAGAAGCAGAGTAAACCCCGCGCCTGGCAAACCCCTCTCTCCCTCACCCCTAAGCTCCGAGAGGAGAGGAAGACTTACATTTTGCCCCTTGCAAGAGAGTTACTTTAGAATACGCGCGTTGGAGTCGCCTTTGCGCGAGCGCTCTCCGGCTTCCTCTCGCCCAGCTCCAGGGGCCCTACTAGGGGAGAGGATAGGGCGGGGAAGGCAGTGAAGTGCAAGCGGAGCAAGATGTGGGAAGGGGCGAAGGAGGCCGCGCTGCCGAGAGTATTCGAGGGAAGCTATTCCTCGACTAAGGAAGTCACACACGCCTGGAGCTGTCCCCGTTAATTGCACACGGGAGCGGCTCATTGCTTAATTGCCAGCAATTAAAACGACGGAGAGATAAGGCAGAGTTGTGGACCGCGGCTGTTTGCGAACAGAATGAGAGGCCTCCTGCGTACGTCACAGGACCAAGCCCATCCCACTCATCTTTGTAAAATCAGTATGCCAAAGTCCACGGGCTTGGAGCCCTTTGCCAAGGCTTAATGACAAAACAACTGTTGTGCATTTGCTCCATCCTGTTGGGTCTAGCCTCCCCCAGTGCCTTTTCTGTTGATGGTGGATCTTGAAACAAGCAATGAAGTATAGCCTGAAATTCAATCAATTTCAGGTGCATTATTGTAGCATAGTCTCTTCCCATTTTTCCCTCTTAATTAAAAATCTGTTTATTTTATTCAATTTATTTTGACTTAAAACATCAGGTGTGCCAGAAAGCCTGATGGGTACTCAGAAAGGTATTGACTGATGCTCTGACAACTCAGAGGTTAGAAGAATACAAAATACATTTAATTCCCTAATAAACCGTGAAGTTTGCAGGGTACTTGAGTGGAAATTGCTGGCCCTAGCCTAATTCATACCATGGTTGTTGTGAAGATGAAGTGGGGGAATGGAATAAGAACCTTTCTTTGCAGCACTGGATTGCTTAATGTAGAAAGAGCAAAATAAAATGAAACAAAATGATCAACGGTTTTTGAAATGTGTTGGGCAGTTCATTTTTCAGGCTCTGTTATCAGCTGTGAAACAGAAACATTGTTACTGAAGTTGTAGGAGTGTTGGAAAAATTATAACAGAAGATAGAATATATAGAAATAGATGGAAGGTTATGCACACAAATGCTCTGTATGAGAACTTTTTTTTTTTCACCCCTCAGAATAGCCATTTGTTGAAATGTCATCTCTCTCAGCTTTCCCAACACATCTGGATTTGTCATCCCAACACATTTGGATAATACCAAACTGGAGCAGGCCAAGATAGATTATTTTATTTCTGGAATAGTAATATTCCAAATTTAAACCTGAGTGCAACATAGTTAAATTGTCTACCCTTAAGACTATAATCAGTGATGCATGTTAATGAAACATAACCACCTACTCTATGGGAACACAAAGTTTAAAGGCTTTAGTTTCAGTTTGCATTAAATTGCATTTACATTAAACTTATTTTTCCTTTCATACACTGATCAGATGTTAGAAATAAATTCATGGAGGAAGAGAGACTTAAGAATACCAGCAACAGTGCCTGATTTAGGCATAAACTAAACAAGCTACAGCTTAGGGCCTCACAATCTGCAAGTCCTCACAAAATTTAAGGTTTTTTCATTTTTTTGCTTTTAGAATTTGATGTAGTTTTTATGTGTACTGCAATCTATGAGAGATATTATAATCTATGAGAGAGATCAAGCCAGCCAAATGATAAATACGTAATCAGTAAATGCATTCATTTGAAAATAATTTGTATTTTTCACTTTAAATACCTTGCTATTAGATAATTAAAAGGCAGGCATATGTATATGTTTGTTTGTTTGTTTGTTTGTTTTGTGGTGATCCAAGGTCCTATTTTGGTACATACCTTTGTGAGACCTTCTGGTGTAACTTTTTAACAAGGGGCCTCCAAGCTTTATGTAGCTTAGGGCCTCACCAAGTCTACATCTGGCACTGCAGCAATTAGCTGAATCAGATAGGGTAAAATGGAAGTAACCTCTCCTAAGTCCTCCCCTTTTTAATCTACAGCTGTTCACCAAACCCCTATTAGCCCTTTTTTTTTTCAAAATTAATTTGCCCCTTGTATGTAGCAAAATGAATGTCTTTTTGCTTTGCCACAACCCAAAGCATTACCATTCAGGAAATCCAATATCACAGGAGCAGCTGTAAAGACAACTCTGGAGAATTCAGGAGTTCACATCAAAAAAACATAACATAAAAACTCATCTTTCCCACAGACATGCCAAATAAATAAAGATTAATGTGGTGGAACTGGTCATCAGAAGGATGCAAGTAAAACTGTTAACAGGCTTCATGACAATCTGCTTGGGCAAAGGACATAAAAGATGGTAAGTAAAGCCATCTTCATGTTCCTTCCTATTTTTGCCTACTGATCAGCATCTTTTGTCATAAATGGGAAGAGTTGTCTCAAGGATTGCCTCTTATATAATGACCTCTCATATAATTACCTGTCTGGTATTAAAATGTGAAAGAGAGGCCCTTCTGAAGATCCCATTGCTTTCAGAGGCCCACCT